TTAAGATCGATCATTACAAAAAAAAAAAAAAAACTGTAGCTAAGCTGTCAAACAGATATACTGCTAACTAATTTTCCAGAGCTATTCCATAACAAGCGCACTGGTACTTTTATACTCTGCACTCAAATGTTTTAACTGGTAGCTTTTTTCCCCCAGTCCAACCAAACTCAATAACCAAGCGAGTAAACAAAATCAAAAAATCTGTGCCATTTGCAGAACACTCTCCACACGTAAAATTATTATTCTACATCATCAGTATAATGTAAATATATGGTACTATATTATCTTTTCAAGGATTTCTAAACAGAAAGATTTAAAGTAACAAAAAAAAGCGCAAAACAGAGAACATGCATCTCTAAAACATTTCTAAAACCACCAAATTCCAGTCTCTTTTAACAATTAGTACGCTCAAAGCAGCAAAAAAAGCTATGCAAATTTTGAGTCTCAAAAGTTATTAAGCTAAAAACCCTTGCACGCATCCACTTTGTAGATTCGGGGACTGCTCAAAAGTGTTTCAGGATCTAAAATTCGGTAACCTAGTGCAGCGTAAAATCAGCAAAGCCGACTGTCACGTTCGTAATCCAAAACTTTTGGACGGACGCCAAAAATTCAAATGTCACAATTAACGGATAGAGGCTATGCTATCGTTTGACTTATTCAACGGCGTAGGCCAAGGAGTCACTTAGATGCTGTCGTCGGAGAGAGTCGCTTTGACGGATGGTTTAATAGCTTTGAAACTTTACGTATCATTCCTTTTTCAATAATTTTTTATTGTTTTCAGACGGTTTAGAATGGTATTAATTTTATCGTGTCAAAATTTTTTATGCGAATTTGTTGCGTTTTATGCCTACCAAGGAATTTGTTACTTACTTTCATATGTACTTTGTTGGTTTTTATTTTCTAGAATGTTACTTGTTATGACAGATCAACAAGAAATTTGTGTTATTGGGCGTCTTTTTGAACTAGCGAGTAAAGTTTGTCTTTTTTTCTCTCGATTTTGGTCTGAAGGTATTTTAACTCTTGGAACTGTTAAGGCTTCTTCCGTTTGAAACTTGCCTTTCCTTGTTTATTTGTTTATTTTTAAACATTGGCTGTGGTCAGAGATTGTGGATCATTTCAAGACTCATTCATTTATTTTGGGTAAACCTGGGACTTCCTAGATGGCGAAAGGAATAACTCTTTTTTTAGTCGTCTTTTTTCCCGACTCTTTTAACGGTCTCTTTATGTTATCGGGGAGCGAGCAATTTTTAAAAGCCGACGGGAAGTTTATGTAGTGAAAGTTCTGTTAGACGTCTCACCGTTCTGGATGGTTTATATTATATTAGTGCTTTTATGTTACTCTACATTTTAAATGTTTCTGGCTGTAGCGGAACGGCTCGTTATGGGAAACCCGTTGTCTTCATCAAATCTGTTGATATCCTTTGGGCCTTTTTGCAGGAACTAAATTCTTCAGCATGATTTTTGTTTTTACATTAAAGTATACAATTTTTTGCATATAATATTAAAAATTGATGAATGTTTCATCTCAACTTAACTCTTATGTGAAAAGTTTATTTGAACAGGTTTTGTATTTGCAGTAGTAAGAACGCATATTTCATTTTACATCTATATTCAAGGTATACATGTCAGAGAACGACGTACGTTATGATCGCCAACTTCGTCTTTGGGGTGATGAGGGGCAATCCTGTATTGAGCATGCTAGTATTTGCATTCTTGGCTCATCAGCTCTCGCTACTGAAATCGCAAAAAACCTTGTGCTTGCCGGCATTAGATATATTTATATTGTAGATGATGCTACTATTACTGAACCTGACCTTGGAAATAATTTTTTTATGGAACAGTGTGATCTTGGGCATAATCGTGCGAAGGTGACACTTCGCCGTTTGAAGGTAAAATTAAGAAGTTTCTTCCCTTTTTTTTTTGTCATTTAGTTTTCTGGTCTTTTTGCCTTGATATCCAAATAATTTAACAGTTTATTGTAGTCAGTACGTCTCGTTAACAAAAGGAAGTTTAGGAGTTGAACCCCATGGTAAAAGGAGATTTCGATGCCAGGAGTTCTGAAGATTTTATTACTAATGATATTTCCTCGTTAACAAAGTTTGGTGTTATTATCGGCGCTAATCTCGTTGAGAAAACTGCGCTGGAAGTTAGCAAATATCTCTTTGAGAGAAATATTCCGTTTGTTAATGCAAAGTTCGCTTTTTTTTCCTCAATCTTTTTTTCTGCTTTTCCAAACTATTTTTACTTTTATATCGTGTCATAAATTTTTTAAATTATGTAGGAATGATAAACATACATAAATACACTTATAAAAAAGTAGTGATAAATTTTTCTCCTTTCAAAATTTCTATATATTTAGAATCCTGGGTTTTGTGGGCTACATACGAATCTGTATAAAAGAGCACACCGTAATCAACTCACATGAAGAGAATGAGCCATTGGATCTGAGGTCTACTACAGTTATTAATTGTTTTTCACATTCCCACGCAGTATTGATTGTCTTACCGTTTAATATTTGACGGGACCACATCTGTTTTTTGGTAAATCGAAATGTCAAATTATTTGTCAATAATGGTACTAAGGTTTTTTCTTCACTTAGTTTTCCGTTTTCTCAGATTTGTTTAACTCGTTTTTACATGGTTTTTTTTGATAAAATTCGTCTAAATACGTCTTTTGAGTGCTTTAAGTAGTCTTATTTTATTTCTAATGCAAGTTTTCTATAGGCCACCAGACTTAATTTTTTTAAAGGTTGGATAGGCCTTTCCAAGCTCTTTCTGCAATGATTGGTGCCGTAGACTTGGATTCTATGACATATGAAACCCACGCTCACACTCCATATTTGCTTCTGTATTTCAAAGCACTTGAAATTTGGAAGAAGCTCTATGGGGGTCAAGATGAGTTGGCATTTCCAGATTCCTACGAAAAACGTAAAGAGTTTACAAAGGTTTATTTTTAACTTGTTCAGTTTTATTGGATGTATTTTGATAATGATTGTAAGATACGTCGCAGTGCTTAGTTTATTTTCGTTTCTGCTTAAATAGGCTGTTTTATCTGATCGCTAAGAATTAATTTTGTTTTTTTTTCTTGATGCTGAAAAATAATTCTTCTAGTTGTTGACGTTTCATTTATACCAGACGAAAGTAAATTTATTTAGATTTTCTCAGATTTGAGAGTACCACATCCTGCAAACGGTTCAATGGATGAAGAAAATTTTATTGAAGGGAAAGCAGCTATTGTGAGATGCCTTCGAAGGACTACGGTATATTAATTTGTCATTGCTTTATATGTTCATTTGCTTCATATGGCGAACAGTTTTTTACATAATTGTTTTTATGATGTTTCTCGTCTACTTCTTTTTCTTGACTGGGCAAATCAGTTTGGATAGTTTAAAAAGTTAATCTCCAGATACCAAAAGAAGTTCAAGAAATACTGAAGAACGAGAAAGCAGAAAAGCCGGATTTAAATGTCTTTTGGATACTCGTAGCGGCGCTGAAACGCTTTGTGATGAAGAACAATGCTTTACCTATTAGTGGACGGATTCCTGACATGATAAGTGATTCTGTTCGGTACACCTCATTGGCAAAGATATATCGAGAAAAGGCTCTTAAAGATGCCAATGAAGTAACTTTTAATTTTTTGAACTTACTGAAGAAAGGGGATTGATTCTTGTTTTATTTTTATCTTCAGTTAAGATCTAAAGGTTTAGGTCTATAACAGCGTGCTTTCGATTATAACAGAACGAAAGCTTCCGAAAGACTTTATCCAGCTTGATGAATGCAAGTCTTTTTGTAAAAATGCAGTTTTTCTTCGAGTGCAGCACGGGACTAGTATTGAGCAGGAATTAAACTCGCACCTTGGGGTAGTTAATTTTTTGAGACGGTTTCACTTAAATTTTGATTTGTGTCCTGCAACTCTCATTTTCTCGTCCTAGGATATCTTTGCCGCAATAAGAGAGGCTGAAATAAAGCCAAATCCTGTTACATCACGTCTTGTTATTCCACCGTCTGTTTGGTATTTGTTAATGAGGGCGGTAGATAGGTTAGTTTTTCCATTGCTTTTAAGTTTTTATTTTAACTGTTTTTGTTCATGCTTTCTTTAGATTTTTCTTTTTTGGTTCCTTGTTATTTAAGGTCACTTGGTATTTCAAGTTGATCCAAAATGCGATCCTACCTGTGATTGTCTGTCTTTTTTTAATTGGCATCAAAACGATTGTTGAAGAACTTTTCGTAACTTTTTGTTGCGTATTGTTACAGTAACTTGAGTTTGGTTCTTAAAAAACGTCTGGTATTGCGTCGGAATCTGGTAAATTTTAGGTTTTATATTGAGAAGTGGCGATATCCAGGCTGCAACGGTGTTCCTTGCACTATTGATTCCCATGATTTAAAGCTCAGAGTTGCCAGTTTAATTCAGGATAGTGAGGTAATTTATTTGTTAGTTTCGATTATGTAACAAGATTATTAAATTTTACTGCTTTAATTTTGTTGTGAAGCTTTAGTAATAGGGATTAGAATTGTGTTTAAGAGTTTAGCAATGAAGTTGGTTTATATGGTTAGTTTAGGTACTTGATGCAAGTGATCTGTTGTCAAAAATTCCAAAAGAGGCTATTGACGAAATATGTCGTTACGGAAATTCTGAACTTCACGTTATAGCTTCCCTTATTGGGGGAATTGCTGCCCAAGAAGTGATAAAACTGGCTACTCATCAATATATTCCACTTGAGAATTGCTTTGTTTTCGACGGTCATACTCAGCAGAGTGCTACCTTTAGATTGTGATTCAGATTTAGCTTACTGAGGTTTTAATCATGAGGAAATAATGGAAAACTTGACTGACTGATTTATTTCAGGTTTCTAATCTTGGTCTCACAACATATTTTTTGTGGCACTTAAAACTTGCGTTTTCCTGCGCTTTCGCTGAATATAGTTTTGATCGTTTTCCGTATCAAATTTAGAGAGAAATTTGCGCACTTGGGTTTGAATTTTTTCCCAGAGAAGAATGTATATTTTAGAATTGAGAAGCTGAGTTCCTGGTTTTTTACGTTTTATATGACATCATATTCGTTGTGGGAAGACATCATTAAAGAGTTGGTTGTCTTACTTGTATAAACGCTGGTTTGATGTTTGGCTTTAATACAAAATAAGGGTCTTTTGTAAACTTTTTGCTTCAGAGGTTTTACGTTTTAATGTACATCAGAGTTGCAGAATTTTGAAACCACATTGGAATGCTTCTTGATTTTATTTTTTGGCTGCAATCATTAAATAGTGGATAGTGGTGGGACATGGAGAAATATTTGCAGTAACTTTTTTTTTCAAAATATTATTGATCTTGACAGGATGTTTTAATTAAGAGGACCATACAGGTGTTTGGAAAAATTTTTAACAAAATAAGATTGAAAGCATCTTAGTTGTGGATTGAGAACAGTGAGAAGTCTTATTACCAGACAGCACCTTAACTTGGAAGGTGCTGATTGGTATTTGGTTAGTCTGAGCACCGCAGACTTCCCATGATTAGGTTTGCCATTTAAGACAGACCTAGCGCGTGATTCGTGCT